TTACTGATCCTCAAATGTGATGCTTTAATTAAAGAATTTTATTCTCTGTGTATTTCAATTTGGATGTTTCCTATTGTGCCTCCAAGTTCATTAATATTTTCTTTTGCAATGGTGAATCTGCTGTTAAGCTCATCCAGTGTATTTTTCTACTCATTGTTTTCTGTGAAGTATGATTTGGGTGAATTTTATATCTTCCATGTCTCTTTTTGAAAAAGTGGTATAGCTCAAACATGTGTGTGAATTCTGGGTTGGTTTCAATGATTGATATTCTTCTCATTGTGAGTTGTATTTTCCTGCATGGTATTCTTTGGGTGACAGACATGGTGAATTTTATCTTATTGGGAGTTTTTTTTTTTTTTCATTTGTATGTATCTTCTTTGGTTTTTCCTGGGATGCACTTAAGTTACTTGGAAAAAAATTTGATCTCTTCTGGTCTTGCTTTTATGATTTGTTATAGACAGGTCATTCAGTCCAACTAATTATCCCCCAGATACTGAGGCAAGATTGTCCTAAGTACTCTGCCCAATGCCCCATTAATTATGAGTTTTTCTAGTATGGCTGGAAGAACCAGGCACTGTTCCTGGTCCCATGTGAGCAGCAGGCACTATTTCCTCTAATTCTTTCAGTTGGTTCTCTTTCCTAGCCTCAGGTGGTTTTTTCTCATACATGCAGTGATCAGTACTCGTTTGAGTACTCAAAGGACACCCCACACTCTACAGATATCTTGGGTTCCCTTTCTGTGCATTTTTCTTCTCTGATACTCTGTCCTAGCAGTCTTGGTCTCTGGACTTTCAAATCAGGGAGTCCACCAGGATCTGCCTTTGTTCTCCCTCTTTGTGTCATGTCTTGGAAACTCTTTCAAGGCAGTTGCAGAGCTAGCATCATTTGTTTACTATCTCATGGTTCACTGTCTTTCATTACCTGATGCCCAGTGTCTTAAAAGCCATTGTTTCACGGATTTATTGGTTGTTTTACACAGGAGGGTAAAGCCAGTCCCTGTTGCTCCATCTTGGCTGGAAGCACAAGTCCAGGAAATACATTAAAAAAAACACTTCTATTAAAGTGCATCTAGGGGAGAGACTTCCCTAGTGGTCCAGAGGGTAAGATTCCATGCTCCCAATGCAGGGGGCCCAGGTTCGATACCTGGTCAGGGAACTAGAACCCGCATACATGCCGCTACTAAGAGTCCACATGCCACAACCAAGAAGTCTGCATGTTGCAACTAAGATCCCATGTGCCACAACTAAGACCTGGTGTTGCCAAAATAAATTTTAAAAATATATTTTAAAAATATAAAGCATATCTATATAGAAAATTGCAAAATAAATTTACATCAAACTTGATTTTTTTTTTTTTTTTGCGGTACGCAGGCCTCTCACTGTTGTGGCCTCTCCCGTTGAGGAGCACAGGCTCCGGACGCGCAGGCTCAGCGGCCATGGCTCACGGGCACAGCCGCTCCGCGGCATGTGGGATCTTCCCGGACCGAGGCACGAACCTGCGTCCCCTGCATCAGCAGGCGGACTCTCAACCACTGCGCCACTAGGGAAGCCCTAATGTTCTGTTCTTGATATGAGCATTGGTCATACAAGTCGACTCAGTTTTTAAAAATTAATCAAGGGCTTCCCTGGTGGCACAGTGGTTGAGAGTCCGCCTCCTGATGCAGGGGACGCGGGTTCGTGCCCCGGTCCGGGAAGATCCCACATGCCGCGGAGCGGCCGGGCCCGTGAGCCATGGCCGCTGAGCCTGCGCGTCCGGAGACCAACACTTCAGAAGCCCCTTTCATGTTACTAAACTCCTACCCCGCAAAAGTAAACCTATCCTGAGTTATAGCACCACAGATTAGTTTTGCCTGTTTTAAAACTTTTAAGAATGGATTCATATAGTATGTGCCCTTCTGCATTTGGTTTCTTAAACTCAACATTGTTTGTTAGATTCAACTGTTTTGAGTGTAACAGTAGTTCATTTTCATTGTTATATAGTATTTTATTGTATGAATATATCACATTCTACTGTTGATGGACATTTAGGTAGTTTCCAGTTTATGTCTGCCGGCATATAGTGCTGTTATAAAGATTCTTGTATATGTGTTTTGGTGAACATATGTAGTGGGTACATAACAGTGGCACTGCTAGGTCATAGGATATGCTATTCCCACTTCAGTGGATACTGCCAACTTTTTTTCCAAAGTTGATGCATCTATTTACACTTTCTCCAGTATTGTATGAGCATTCCAGTTGCTCCACATGTTTGCCACAGTTGATACTGTCCATGTGAGTTTTTTTTTTTAAAAGCCACTCTGTTGTTTGCATGTTTAAGTTCCCTTTTAAAGCTGGTATTGGAGAAGAGTAGGTCTAAGACCCTTTTCAAAACAAACTGCTTTATATTATGTGAGGTTACGTTTTGGGAGATACAGGACAGATGATAAAGTCCAGAGACATATCCAAACCCCAATAATAATAAATCCTGGTAATAAAGGAATTACTTCAGTTTTCAGTATCAAGCACTGAAAGTTTTCAGAGAAAACTTTCATTTTACCTTTCACAATTTACCAATGTTAGGCTATGAATTAATATCCTTTTAGTTTATTTTTCCATGCATCCATAAATTTAGGTTATTTCATTGTATAACTATTGTGATTTTGAAACTTAAAGTTTGAAAAAAAGACAATGATCTTATAATGGAGCTGGAGGGTCTCTGACTGGTTTAGTGGGTTGACTGACCTAAAATAGGGATCAGCGAACTTTGTGTATAAAGAGCCAGATGGTAAATGTTTTAGTCTTTGCCAGCCATCCAGTCCCTGTTGCAACTACTCAACTTTGCCCTTGAAAGCAGCCATAAACAATATGTATATGAGTGGATGTGGCTGCGTATACTACTATATACTCAGTATACAACTTCCCCAAGGACATATATAAGAATATCCATGACAGCACTATATACTGGAAAACATAAACTGGAAACTACCCAAACATCCCTCAACAGCAGAACGTGATATATTCATATGATGGAGTACTATACAGTAACAAGAATAAGCAAACTACCCTTACAGCTTTATTTACAAAAACTGGCAGTGGTAATGGGCATGAGGTTTCACTAGTTGTGTGTGGCTATTTAAATTTTAATTAATTACAATTAGGTAAAATTTAAATTGTTCTCAATCACACCAGCCAAATTTTTTTTTTTTACTTAAGTATAGTTGATTTGTGTTACAATGTTGTGTTAATTTCTGCTGTACAGCAGTGATTCAGTTATATACATATGTACATTCTTTTTTAAATATTCTTTTCCATTGTGATTTATCATAGGATATTGAATATAGTTCTCTGTGCTATACAGTAGGACCTTGTTGTTTATCCATTCTATATATAAAAGCTTACATCTGCTCACCCCAACCTCTCACTCCATCCCTCCCCCAGCCCCCTCCCCCCGGCAACCACCAGTCTGTTCTCTATGTCCATGATTCTGTTTCACAGATAGGTTCATTTGTGTCACATTTTTAGATTCCACGAATAAGTGATATCATATGGTATTTGTCTTTCTCTTTCTGACTTACTTCACTTAGTATGATAATCTCTAGTTGCACCCGTGTTGCTGCAGATGGCATTATTTCATTCTTTTTTACAGAGGATTAGTATTCCATTGTATATATAATATATACCACATTTTCTTTATCCACTCATCTGTTAATGGACATTTCAGTTGTTTCCGTGTCTTGGCTATTGTGAATGGTGCCGCTATGAACATAGGGGCATCTTTTTGAATTATAGTTTTGTCCAGATATATGCCCAGGAGTGGGACTGCTGGATCATATGGTAATTCTATTTTTAGTTTTCTGAGGAACCTTCATACTGTTTTCCAGTGGCCACACCAACTTACATTCCCAACAGTGTAGAAGGGTTCTCTTTTCTCCACATCCTCTCCAGCATTTGTTATTTGTAGTCTTTTTTTAAAAAATACATTTATTTATTTTATTTTATTTATTTTTGGCTGCATTGGGTCTTTGTTGCTGCACGCGGGCTTTCTCTACTTGTGGCAAGCGGGGGCTACTCTTCATTGTGGTGCGTGGGCTTCTCATTGCAGTGGCTTCTCTTGTTGCAGAGCACAGGCTCTAGGTGCGTGGGCTTCAGTAGTTGTGGCATGTGGGCTCAGTAGTTGAGGTGCACGGGCTCTAGAGCACAGGCTCAGTAGTTGTGGTGCATGGGCTTAGTTGCTCCACATGTGGTATCTTCCCAGAACAGCGCTCAAACCCATGTCCCCTGCATTGGCAGGCAGATTCTTACCCACTGCACCACCAGCGAAGCCCCCTGTAGACTTTTTAATGATGGCCATTCTGACTGGTGTGAGGTGGTACCTCATTGTAGTTTTGATTTGCATTTCTCTAATAATTAGCACTGTTGAGCATCTTTTCACGTGCCTATTGGCCATCTTTATGTCTTCTTCGGTAAATGTCTGTTTAGGTCTTCTGCCCATTTTTGGATAGGGTTGTTTTTGTTGTTGAGTTGTATAAGCTGTTTGTATTTGGAAATTAAGCCCTTGTTGGTTGCATCATTTGCAAATATTTTCTCCCATTCTGTAGGTTGTCTTTTCGTTTTGTTTATGGTTTCCTTTGCTGTGCAAAAGCTTGTAAGTTTGATTAGATCCCACACTAGCCAGATTTTAAATGCTCTATAGCCACATGTGGCTAGAGGTCACTATACTGGACAGTGCATATGTAGAACATTTCCTTCAATCTCCAAATGTTCTATTAGACAGCTTTGCTCTAGTAATCTTTGCTTTTCCTTCTGCCAGGTACAAATAGGAATCACCAGCCTGGGAAACACTTTAAAATAAATTCATGGTTTAAAGGGTTTTTTTTGAACTGGCAGGTGGTATGAAATTGGGCTGCAAAGCTGTGAAGCCTAGCTTGAGATTATGAATTCTCAGGGGAGATTTTTTTTCACAGTACTGTTGTTGTGGGTCTGAAGATATTCATGGATAATAGATTCTGTTCCTTTGCTCAGATGATGACAGTAATGTTGCAATCACCAGACCAGCTTCAGAAAGCCCCTGTGTGCTGAATGCACCACAACCTTTGGTCTTACCTCGAGTGCCACAGTCTAAGGTGCTGTCCATCACCTCAAATCCGGTAAGTCACACAGGGGAATGTATTGGAGAACCTAGGACTGTTCTTGTAGACTAAGTTTGCTCAGTTATTTGCCTTAATTGTATCACTATGACTCTTTTTCAGTAAAGTTATGTGTTTATCACAGTAATCCAGTGACTCTTTGCAAAGATACGTTTAATTTCAGTTTAAAAAATTAATAGCAGCGAATGCACTCATGTCAATGAATTGTACATGTGAAAATGGTTAACACAGTAATATTATGCTATGTATATTCTACCACAATTTTAAAAAATTTAACCTGTTAAAAAAATTAATAGCTAATTAGAGTTGATAAGTAATTCTCAATCAGCTCTTTTGAAAAGGCATCTATAAGCTGTGCAATCTAGACTCAACTATATGGTCAGCTTAAGTCTGCTTTGGGAAAAATGAAAAATATGATGAAAAGAGGGACCAATATCAGATCTTCTATGGCCTTAACATTCTGTCCTTTGAATTTCTTTTTGACTTCTTCCCTCTTTCTTCTCTTATCTCAGACTACCTGGTTTTTGTTTTATTTTTAATATTTGAATCTGTTGACATTTTTGCTTTTTGGATGTTTACTAATCATAACCAGATGTAAAAGGCAAATCAAAGGGAGGAGAAAATGGTTTCAAATAAGTCTGTAGACAAGCATATAAAAATGGCCATTTCTTGCAGAAGGTTGATAAGCCTGGTCTCATCCATGTGTAATGATTTATGTAATCCCAGTTCCTACATGATAGCTTCCCAGTGTTACTTGTAGCAAAAAAGTGTGGGAGCAGGGGAGGGATAAAAAGAAAAAGGATTCTCATCCTTGGCCCATGCTCATCGAGCCTGGGTTTAGTACCACATCTAGTATTTGCTTTGTTGGTGTACTAGCCAGATATTGTGCAGCTATATTTTAAAAAGGGTTATTTAAAAGTAAACTCAGCTTGTGAATCACTATACTGTACACATCTGTAACTTATATAATATGTACATCAACTCTACTTCAATTAAAAAAAAGTAAATAAAAATAAACTCAGTAAGGCCCATACCTTATCACATTGGAGGATGACCCAGGTAATAATCTAATATTCCTATGATGGTAATAAAATACTTCTACATGTTGAACTGGCCTGGTTAAGACCTAGGTAGCCTAAGCCCTGAAAAGTTAATGTACACGGTTCTGGTTGTTAATGACCAAAGGAAGGAGAAGCAATAATCCAAACATTCTTAAGACAAAGTAGGCGGAAAATGCATACTGTGACAGAGAAGAAGCTGGCCAGAAAGGGCACTTAACTGACTACCTGAGAGAGAAAATAAACAGGACACTAAGGTGGCAGTGGCAGTCCAGGTAAGATTAAATCCTGCTAACATTAGAATACAATTAACTCCTTCTAATAAAGTCTTCAGAATTTAAGTTATTATTGAGAGCTGACTGCTCCAGGTGTAGTGAAGGAGAAAGCATTAGTTTGTGCAGACCATAGGATTATGTGATGGTAAAAGAGATAGAGTTTACCCTTATTCTCCCCATTTTTGTTCCATATTTTTTCTAGTATAATGTAAATAATAATGATAATAAAGGTCCTCTCTCCCCTATGAGAGTGGCTATTAATTGCTTTCATCTAAGTTGACCAGGCTTCCCCATTTAGAAATGGAGAGGAAAGCACTCTGATCCTGTCATCTTGACACTGGACTTGGGGCTCCAGCTGGGGTACTGGCCAAGATTTACAAAAGTTAAGGCACAGGAGAAAAATGTAAAAATGACCTAATTTGGAAATACTAACTTCTGGCAAAGTTGGGAAACCAAGCTGATATCTTCACCAACCAATAATGAGTAACACCTTCTTTTGATATGTAGATGAGTCTCTGTCAAGCAGCAAGTGGTCATCAGCCAAATGTGAATGGTCTCTTGGTTCATGGGATGCCTCTACAGCCAAGAAATCTCTCCCTAATGGACAAGCTCCTGTAAGCAGTATAAAATTTTAAGACTATAGAGTTTAAGTAGATCACTGAGAAATAAAAGGAAAGCAAAGTCAGTCAATCAACATGCATGTATTGAGTATGTACCAAGCAACCAGAGACGTCTGGGGAGTAAAAACATATAAGGAAAATGGTCTCCACCTTCAAGGAGCTGATAAAATAACTGTTGAGAAGGCACAAAGGTAAAAAGAGGCCTAACCATACAGGGCATT